CACAGAAACAAGTCAAATTCGCAGAACCAGAATACCCCTATCCTGAAGGAGTCTCACAAGACTGGATCAGGAAGAACGGCAAACGATTCCAGGAAGACATGCGAAATAAGGATCGACAACAACGACGGGCAGTCTATAAACAACATAACAAAGAAGATACGGACGCAGCCCTTATGCTCACGAAACTCGGACAACAACCCGAAGAGGAACAACGAAGTTTCGACGACACAAGCTCTGAAGAACAAGACACGCTACAAGAAACAGAAGACGAGGATGAACTCGCACCACCACCCTCACTACTAAGGGAAAACGCCACGATTGGAGAACACGCTCCATACTTCGAAGAATTCGAAGAAATGCTCAAAATTGGAACTCAACAAATACCTCAAATTCTCACGGAAAACCAACAAGCTGCATTGATTCGATACCAACCGGCACCACGCGGAGGAGACTACGCTGTGGCTATCGCCGCGGTCGACACCTTTACAGCCCTACAACGAGAATGGCAACCACGAGGAGAATTTTCAGATGACCCAAGAACAGTGCTCAGTCACGAAGAGCACAAACATATTTCATGGATCTCATGCGTCTATTTGGACTGCATGATAAACTTCAGATGAAGGCACGACACGACGCCTTCCCAGTCAGATTCGACGGACAAATACTTTCGAAACCCTACCTAAGCACGGAACTGGACTACTGGAAAATCGATCAACGTTACCCGAACGACCAAGTCATGTTATTGGAACCCGATTACGGCACGCCACTTGAATGCCGCGATGATTACGGTTCTTTAACGAGATGTCTTTCGGAAACATGCAAAATCCACAAACACGCCAAAATTGGGGAATGGCACAACGCCACTCGCTCTAAGGCATCCGAACCATCTATCTTCACAAGACTCGCGCAACGAATCAGATGCGACGAAGAAGATTACAACGAATGTGCACACCCGAACTGCAAAGTTCACGAACACGAAAAGGCACGAGCATGGCACAAACGACACAACGGTGCACCAAAGGACTACTGGCGACACCTACGAAGGCTACAAGCTACATTCGACCAAGGAAAAATTAACGCAGAAGAACTACGCGCAAAACAGAAAGACGCAGAACGAAAACTCGATTCCTGGTACGAAAACGAACAGAATTGCGAAGCACGGTACGCAATCAACTGCGAAGCAGCACAATGCAAACAACACAGCGTTGAGAAACAAGAAATCTTCGATTGGCTACAAGAAATCAGTCTCTTGAGCCCCGACACGACACCACGCGACGAAAACATAAAGAAACGATATCAACAACAAATCGAAGAAGAATACCCAAATGAAACGAATAAGGACCAGGCAAAAACGAGGTACGCCATCTGTAAAGGGCTACAGACTGGCACGACACGACAAGATCCAAGGACCCTATGCATGGCAACGGCAAGCCATGGCAACCAAATGGTATTGGACATCCAAATCGCGGGACATCACGTACACGCACTATTGGATTGCGGCGCGATGGGCAATTACGTTTCACCTAGAGTCATCAATCGTTACCGACTCCCATGGAGACACAAGAAAGATCCATATGAACTCACGAATATCGAAGGAGAGGCCTTTAACTATAATAACGGAATTATTGATATGGAGATTGATCACCTCGACATCAATATCCAGGGCCACGACGAACGAGTCGACTTCGACATCATGGACATTGGAGAACACGACCTTGTGTTAGGGCTTCCATGGTTACAGGAGAGCAACCCACTGATCAACTGGAAAACTGGCCAGCTGCGTTGGAACGACGACGCAAGTTTCCAAGACCAGCAGATTTGGGAGAAAGCAAAATTTTGCGATGATTTAGCCACTGAACAGGACGAAAGGGATGACCGTTCAAGCAAATCATTACGGGCTTCAGCGATACAAACGAAAACAGCAACCGAACCGGCGGACACAACAAAATCGACTGACAAGACCCACGTACTGACCAACACGGCTGTACAACCTGGCATCCGACATAAACAGAACAAAGGACACAACAAGAAGATCCGAAGAGTTATTGCCACTCTAAGGAAAGACCTCGAACAAATCAACAAAGAGCTCGAGTCAAGGAAACCAGCTCTCAAAAGAAAGAACAAAGCCCACAAGACAGAATGAAGAACATCCCACAGGAATACCGGAAATACGACAAACTCTTCAAGGAAGAACTCGAGACAGGGTTACCGAACACAGTCAATGGGACCACGAAATTTGTCTCAAAGATGGAAGAACGCCGACGTTCCATAAGATTTACAACCTAAACGAAAAGCAACTGCAAACGCTACGCGACTACCTCGACGAGAATCTACGAAAGGGATACATACGAACATCAACATCCGAAGCAGGCTACCCAGTCATGTTTGTTCCAAAGAAAAACGGCAAGCTACGACTAGTTGTCGACTACAGACGCCTAAACGATATTACAATGAAGGACCGAACACCATTACCGCTTATATCGGAACTACGAGATCGACTGCACGGCAAAAAATGGTTTACGGCCCTCGATCTCAAAGGCGCCTACAACTTAATACGCATGAAAAGGGACACGAATGGATGACAGCTTTCAGAACGAAATTCGGACTATTCGAATATCTGGTAATGCCATTTGGACTCACAAATGCACCAGCTACCTTCAACGGATGATCAACAATGTCCTACGCGAACACTTGGACATCTTTGTGGTAGTATACCTGGATGATATCCTAATCTTCTCGGACACCCTAGAAGAACACAAGGAACACGTCCACAAGGTACTCCGCGCACTTCAGAATGCGAAGTTACTGGTTGAACCAGAAAAAAGCAAGTTCCACACACAGGAAGTAGATTTCCTCGGACACACGATCTCACCAGGAGAGATACGAATGCAACAAGACAAGATCAACTCAGTCAAAGAATGGCCAACGCCAAAGAACGTCAAGGACGTACAAAGTTTCCTAGGATTTGCGAATTACTACCGACGATTCATCAAAGATTTCGGAAAGATTGCAACACCACTACACGACTTAACGAAGAAGGAAAAAGAGTTTACATGGGACGACAAAGCCAACGAAGCTTTCAGATGCATCAAAACGACGATTACGCAAGAACCGGTCTTAACCACCTTCGATCCAGAACGACAAATCGAACTCGAAACCGATGCATCAGACTTTGCTCTAGGAGCACAAATCGGACAGAAGGACGATGAAGGAAGACTACGACCAATTGCATTCTACTCGAAAAAGCTACATGGCGCAGAACTCAATTACCCCATCTACGACAAAGAATTCCTCGCAATCATTCAAGCTTTTAAGGAATTTCGACACTACCTTCTCGGAAGCAAACACAAAATCAAGGTCTACACAGATCACAAAAACATCTCACATTTCGCGACGACGCAACAATTGAACGGACGACAGATCCGATGGGCCGAATGTCTATCAGAATTCGACTACGAAATAATCCACAGAAAAGGAACGAAAACGGTCGAGCTGATGCCCTCAGCCGACGATCCGACTACGACACAGGAGCACCTATTGTGAAAGGACAACTCCTTGAGCTCAACAATGAAGGAATATGCAACAACGACAGCTTAACGCAATCTTCAAGGTCAATCCAGACGAAGGCCTTACGAAGAAGATCCAACAAGCCTACGATAAGGTTGATTGGGAACCACTTCCAGTTGTTTGGGAAGATGGCCTGGCAAAGCATCAGGAAAGATCTTTGTACCAGAAGAACTTCAGGACGAAGTTATACGCGAAATTCACGAACACCCGACACACGGACACCAAGGAATCCGGAGGACGATGGAAAGAATTCGACGAATCTACGACTTTCCACGGATGAAGAAACGAATCAGCGAAACTATCAGAAAATGCGAACTTTGCGCACGAAGCAAAGCTGAACGACACAAGCCATACGGAGAATTGCAACCGTTACCAGTACCAAAGAAACCATGGGACTCGATAGCTTTCGACCATATCACAAAGCTACCACCGTCAAAAGAACCCATGACCAACGTCAAGTACGACAGCATATTCGTCATTACCGACAGATTGACGAAGTACGGATACTTCTTACCGTACAAAGAAGCAAGCAACGCAGAAGAGCTAGCATATGTGTTCCTACGAACTATTGTCAGCAATCACGGACTACCGAACGAGATTGTCTCTGACAGAGGAAGCACATTTGTGGCCAAGTTTTGGCAAGCTCTCATGGCACAATTAGGAACGAAACATAAGCTCAGCACAGCTTATCACCCACAAACAGATGGACAAACAGAACGACTCAACCAAACGCTTGAACAATATTTACGATGCTACATCAGCTACGAACAAAACGATTGGGTTAAATGGCTACCGACGGCACAACTAGCTTACAACAGCTCAGTCACAGAGACAACCAAGCTCTCACCAGCATACGCCAATTACGGATACAACCCAGAAGCATTCAAGGTCACTCGACAAGGACCACAAGCGGAACGAGCGATACTGCAAGCAGATCAGCTACGAAAATTGCATAAAGAAATGCAACAAGAACTTCAATTCGTCAGAGAACGAATGTCCACTCACTACAATCGGAAAAGATTGCAGGGACCAATCTTTCAAGAGGGAGACATGGTCTACCTCGTACGACGAAACATCAAAACAAAACGACCAAGCAACAAATTGGATTTCAAGAAACTTGGACCGTTCAAAGTCAAGAAAACCATTTCAAAAGTCAACTACGAACTTTCGCTACCAACAACAATGCGGATACACCCGATATTTCATATCTCATTATTGGAACCAGCACCACGAAACGCCAAACCACAGGAAAAATCGAAGTCGACGACGATCAAGAATACGAAGCAGAACAAATACTGGACACAAGAAAACAAGGTCAGCAACAGGAATACCTTGTAAAATGGAAAGGATACGGACCTGAGGAAAACACATGGGAACCCACCAAGCACCTGACCCATTGTGGTTCGCTTCTCCGACAATTCAATCAACAAAGATCAACCTCCTGACGAAATGGGATTTTCCGGCGCCGACGAATCCCCGAGCAACCCAAATTGGGCTAAGACAGAAGGAGACAACGACACCTGGGAGTACAAAGAATCCCAATCCTCGACGAAGTCCGAGGGTAACCGATCGTCGTGAGGGGAAGGCGGCCGCGCCTCCTCCACTCGTTGCCGCTCCTTCTCCGCCTCTTCTTTCTCGACACGTTCCAGCTCCTCAACGTTATCGATCCCACGGGAGACCGCCCGCATCATCTTTTCAAACCATAATTTCTTTTGTTTTCGAAGGCGCAGAACCTTTTCCTCGGCCTCCTCAAGCTCGCGTTCGAGCTTGATGTGTTGATTTGCAATATTTCGAAGCTGTGCCGGCGATACCCCTTGGACGTCGCAGCGGGAAGGTGAAGGCGCACGCATTCGACACAGCGATCAGAATCCGAAGACGACACCTGGCATTCCCGGAGTCCGCGACGCTCGCAAGCCGAGCAAGAAGGCATCGTAAGAATGTCGGGATTCGAAAGGATCGTGGAAAGCAGGACACCACAACGGATGGACGACGAGGCCTTGGCCCTTTTCTTGGAAACACGGTCAGACGGCATGACGGACCATGATGAAGGAAGAAGAAAGGGAACGGCACACACTCACGCAGGAAATGACCAGGATATGCGACACGGCGGCTAAAGCAGGTCTTGAGGGCAAGACCAAGGGAGGGGGAGACCTGATGTTACGACCCGACCAACGGATGTTACGACCCGACCAACGGATGGCCATGACACGGGCCAGGGATGACTAACCGCTGAAGGATCACGTGACCATGCGAAAGGTGATCGGTGGATCGCCTTACGATCAAGCGAGCGGTGCTCGACGGATCGTTCATCGATCAAGGTGATCACCTCTGTGATCACCTCAGCACCTCGCGATCAGAGACGGGCAGTTGGGTATATATAGCTGCCCCATTTCACTCCTTTAGACTAGATAGCTCTTTAGCTTTCAACACAATCATTACGATCCCTATCACGATCTCATCTCTGATTCCGATCACTTGATTACCTGGTTACAGTCTACGGTCTACGACCTCCGACTCATCACCAACGTGACATACTTATCATTGCTCAGACCACGCCCTGTTGTATCTGCCAACATAAACCCCACGACAGGTTTATCCCTTGGGAATATCACCGGTCGTCACAATTAAGTAGAAGGGATATAGACTAAAGGAAAATACCTAGGAACTACTTAAGCACTTAACCTACTATAGTCCTCTACTTTAATAGTTCTATTAGTAAAACCTACCCTAGGTATTATAAAATCGCTTAACAAACTAATAGCATTCTAATTAATTATATTAAATCTACTTATAGACTAAATATCGACCACCGCTTTAGATTCTTAGCGCTTAGCCTCGTTAAGGTTATCTAAGGAATAAAGGCCCTAATAGACTATCTCGGTACCCTTTATCTTTAGCTAGCGCTTTTAATAGCGAAGCCGCGCTAAATAAGCTAAGGCTTTATTTAGGTTAGCTTAAGCTTTTAATATTCGCTCCTTAGCAATTTCTTCTTCTTTATCTAATCGATCGGACTCTAGATTTATTCGGGATACTAGGAAACACGTTAGCTATAAATAATAAGTAGGATAACGAAGTTACCTACGAGAGCTAATTGCTACGCCCGACGTATTATAGGAACGACCCCGCCGTATATATTCGGTATACTTAGAAGATTTCTCTAGTATTTTATAGCGGAAGCCGCGCGACGAATAAAAAGAATATAGTATAACGTCGAAACTAAGACAATTAATAGACTTAGCTAAACGAATACGCTTAAGGGTCTTACGAGAACGATCCTTTAATACGCGACTAGATATACTATTAGTAGTATATCCTAAGGGATAGAAAGGACGAAACGGGGAATATATATACGCGCGATAAGGGTATATTTATATACGGCGGCTAAGGTAGTAGTAGGTCTTACTAATAAGACTAAAAGGAAGGGAGACATCGTATTATAACTACGGTTAGCGGGCCGTAGGAGAGCCGGCCACGTTTACGTAATAAGGCGGCTCGGAATAATAGTCGGAACGAGAAGTTACTTAGGCTTAGCTTACCTAGAGCGTATATAAGCTAAGTAAGCCTTATATAGATAGATTACTATTTAGGAGCATAGCTTACGAGTAAGCTATAGTAAGCTATAAAGGGGATTACGGCTAGGACCGTGATCTAAGGATAGTCTTTATAGGTATATATAGCTACCTACTTTTACTCCTTTAAATAGATAGCTCTCTAGCTTTTAATATAGATCTTTATTACGATTCTATCTCTAATTCTAATTACCTAGTTATAGTCTACGGTCTACGACCTCTAACTTATTACTAACGTAATATACTTATTATTACTTAGACCACGCCCTATTATATCTACTAATATAAACCCCTCGATAGGTTTATCCCTTAGGAATAACACTGGTCGTTATATATAAAAGCTACCTATCTAAATAAGAGCTTATTAATAATATCGGCTAAGAAGGTAGCGATCTATATAGTTTTAAAAGCGCTAGTTATTATCTTAGTTTTATTAAGGAAGATAGCTCCGTTTAAGTTATATAGCGATAAGGGAAGAAGCTCGTCCTTATTAAACGATAGGGTAAACTACCTATAGGCGTTTTAGGGGGTACTAAGGGTTTTCCCTATAATGCCTAAAACTAAGGGCAGCGAGTCGCTAGTCGAATTACTAGAGCTTAATAGTAATAAGGTATAGTTATCGAAGCGAACGTATAATAAAGTACTAAGAATAAGGCAATAAGAAGCGCCGACCTACTATAGTTAGATAGTTAATATTACGTTTCTATTAGTTTAGGTAGTTATAGGAGTTATAGTAGTAATATAATAAGCGGTAATACTATAAGGCGTAAAGAAGTATAGCTAATTACGTTTATATAGATTATAGGCTTTAGCTAAGGGAAGAGATAAAGGGGCGTAGTATATACCGTTTTCTATTAAGCCTACGTTAAGATTATACCTTTCTCTAGTAAGGAGGTCGCGGTAATTAGTATATATACTATAATTATCCTATTTCTACTTAGTAAATATAGCTATATTAGACTTAAGGTTATAGAGGAGCTTTGCCTTATTCCTATATAGTTAGACTACTTAGCGGAATCCCGTAAAGCTTAGGCGTAGCGGTTAGTAGTAGATTTAGTTAGAGAAATACTAGCGAAATACTAGGTCTCTACTACGATACTTATAGCCTTAGGTAGCGGGAACCTTAAATATAAGTATAAGAGGGGCGCGGTTTAATATAGAAAAGGGAGCGTAAAAAGATAAGGAAATTAAGTTCTTAAAATAAAAATAAATATAGGTGCTAAAACATAGAATTAGGTTACCGTTCGCCGTAGGCGGCCTATTAATACTTATTAGCTAGTTAACCTATCCTTAAACTTCTAGGAGAATAAATAGTAATAGCGCGTACTATATACCGTTATTTCTCCCTTAGTTATAGCGGCTTATACTATTATATAGCGCGCGCGCGGAGCTTCCTAGTATAGGTAATACGACCTTATAATACTCCTTACTATATAGTAAATTCTTCGATAAGGTCTTCGGCGACGATATCCTTAGTAGCTACCTAGGAATTATAGCTACTTAGCTAGCCTTTTTAGCTAATAAGGTATTCTATATAAGCGGCCCCTTAGCTATATCTATAAGTTCTAGAGTTAAGAATTCTTTTAACTTCCTAGTAGTTAGTATTAGGTTCTAGGCTAGGTCGGGCGTTTAGTTATTTAGCTAGCTATAGCTACGTAACGGAAATAATATCGTAGTTATTTAAGGATCCGGCTAGGTTAAGGTAGTAGGCTAGATAGCTAATCTACTTAAGGACTTTAAACGGTCTTATATAGCGTTCCTTTAACTTTACTACCTATCTATCGGCTACGCTATATCCTTTCCCTAGCTAGAGCTATACCTAGTCTTTAGGTTTAAACTCTAGTACTTAGTACTTCGCGTTATACCGCTTTTTTATTCCTACCTAAGCTAGAGCAATCGAGATCCTAGCCTAGTCCTAGAGTATCTCCCTATCTATCTATAAGGGGCCTTCTTTAAAGTATCGCTTACTATTATCTATTTATATCTTAGTTAGTAGCTCGCTTAAAAAGGTACTAATTACTAAGGAGTAAGAGTTATTAAGGGTAAATTAAAGTAGTAGTAACGCGTCGACCTATCGATAGGATAGGAAGTTAGTTATAAAGAACTAGAGCGTGGTTTTAACTACTTAGTTATATTATTTTAATAAGCTATCGGTCTAAGGATACTAAGCTATAGATACTAGTAACTTAGACTTATATACTATTTATAGTCCTTTTTAGAACGCCGAAAGGAACTTAGGGTCTTAGTTAGAGATAATTTAAGCGGGAATCCCTTAGTTATAGTATATTAACTTAGTAAATAGTACCTTAGCTTAGTCTTTTATAGTAAACTAGTTATAGCCTAGGATAAGGAGCTTTATTTTCGAGAACCTATTAGTTACTATTAGTAGTATATTATAATAAACCTTAATAAGTAGTATTTATAGAGTTCGGTCTATAAAAACGTCTAAGAGTCTTATAACGAAATCTATCGCGATTATATAAAAAGGTAAGGCTAAGGATATAATTAGAACTAACTTACTAAGGGCCTTTAACTAGTCGGTTTAGTTCCTATAGTAATTATTATACTTATCGATAAAGCTATTAATAAGTTTCTTAAGGCTAGTAATAGCGAATATAAAAGATAACTCCTTTTATATCCTTTACCGTTTAAGGTAAAATTTACGCGCGTAGTTATTAGCGATAATTTCCTTAGCGTAGATAGTAAGAATATAGAGCTAATAACGACCTTTAGACTTAACTAAGTAAGGTTACTTATTCCGCTAAACGAATAAGAGACTAACCTAGGACTTATTATTTCTAAGCTACTTTAGTATACTAGCCTACCTAGGTTCTTCCGCGTATACTCCTTAGATCTTCTAGCATAGGTTAGGTTAGATAAAGGATTCTATAACTATATATACGTATTTAACTAGCGCTTTATCTTCTTAAACGCGGTCTAATTCTCTAGGTTTATATTTCCTAGGTATTATAGATAGTAGTCGAGATAGTATATTAGTAAGGATATTTATAGTTCTAAGAACGTAGTAGACCTTTAAGGGAAACTAGCTAAGGTATTATAAAGCGAGTATAAGCTAATTATTAGTCTTTATACTAATAGTAAATAGCGATATTTACTTTAAGATTATACTAGTAGCGGCGTAGTTAGTTAGTATAACGACCTTTAATAGTAAGGTAGAGATAATATATAACTAGAGCTTTTAATATACCTAGGAAAGATAAGCGACTTTAAGTTTAGTAGGCTAGTATCTAAGTTCTTTACTAGTTAAGCGTTTATTAAGGTAAAGGATTAGCTAGATACTTATCTAGGGCGGGGTCCTTCCTAGGTTTTAGTCTACCCTTAGTATAAGGTAAAAGGCTACTACTATAAAGCCTAGCTCGCGGCTAGCGTCGATTTATAAGAATAATAGCTATTATAGGTCGAAATAATATAGCCGCGTTAGTTCTATAAAAGCGTTTATAAT